TGATCAAGGGACACACACACTCTTGCTTAAAAGCTTTGAGTGAGACGCAGCTTAGAATCTACCTAACCAATGCAGCAGACAATTGCTTGGTAAACAAGTACTCCTAAGCTCAATTCACACGTGAAGAACACAGTTTCTTCACTCACAATACTCACGTGAAGAACAACCTTCTTCACTCACAAGGACTCTGTATTATGCACTCTTTATTCTTCTATCAAAAATCATTACTGCTAGGATTGCTCCTTTTGATATTTATAGAGCAGTCAGTCCTTTGGGCCTTGGTGCACACAGTTAGGTTTAATCATAACAAACCCTACTCTTCAATCATCTGCACGCTTGCCATTTAATTCAGGAGCATTTGTTTCGCTTTAGGGCTTCTCAAATGTCTCTTGTCTTTCATCTTGAGCTCCTGATTTGTTTCCTGATTTCTAGATACCAGAAAAACTAACATGCCCGTTGGATGTCATACAGTCAGTGTCATGACATTCTGTATGACATTCAGCTTAACTTATAGTTAACTTACCCTGCACACACATCATTAAGTATGTCTTAACATTCAGTATGACATACATGCAAACTCTAAAGTTTTGCCACAAAATGCAGCCAATCAAGAGCACTTACAACTTAGAAAATTTTCCATCAAAACCCTAATTTAGTCAAACTCTTTATTTTTTGTTTCTCCTTGACTTTTCTTGTTCCAACCACATGAAATCACTTGAAAACAACTATCATGCCCTTAATTGACCTTGAGATCCAAGATCTTGACCTAATTGAATCACAATTGACTTTTGTTGACCAGATGAAATTCTAGGATCATTTCCACTGACTGGGGCTCTTGTGATGGCTTGTGATGACACATAATCCATGTAGAGGACCCTCAAGGTGTATGATGGGATTTAGAATCATGTCTTGCCCAAAGAACTAGCCACAAATATTCTTTGAACCAAGATCATAACTTGTTATCCATGAGATAGGAGGTGGAGAATTGATGCTTGTGTTCTTGATTCAATGGGTTGAGTGACATATCTTGATGATGATGAAGACCATGCTGCTTGAGATTTCCACAAATTTGAGCTTGAGCTCTTGGTTGAGCTATGAAGATGAGGATCTTCCCTTGATTGTTGGATAAGATACCTTGATTCCCTGTCTAAGATCAGTGCTAGGTGCAAATGCTAATGCAAATGATAATGATATGGAGGTTAAAGGTTAGGGTGAAAAAGAGGCTGTGACAGTTGTACATACCAGACATGAAGAGTAATTTGCTCAGCATAGGACAGTTGGTCGAAAAGAACTACAAGGTGTCGATTGAAAACAAGATGATGAGAGTTATCAACTAAGGAGGAAGGTTAATCTTGAAGGCTCATATGTCTCAAAATAGAACATTCAAGATTGAGTTAAATGTGATAGAGCATAAGTGCCTTGCAACTGCAGCCAACATAGATGAATGGATATGGCATTATTGACTTGGTCATCTCAATTTCAAAGACATTGGAGATTTTAAGAGAAGAAATATAGTTTCAGGATTACCAGAAATCGACATTCCAAGTGAAGTGTGTGAAGAATGTGTTCAGGAGAAACAACACAAAAATAGCTTTAGCAAGGATGCAGGAAGCAAGTCGAAGGAAATTCTTGAAGTCATATACTCTAATGTATGTAGTCCTATTCAGGTGGATTCGATTAGAGGTAACAAATACTTTGTCACGTTCGTAGATGATTTAATTTGAAAATGTAGACTTACCTGATCAAGAAGAAAAGTGAAGTGATTTGCCAAATTCAAATATATGGTCGAAAGACAGAGTGGTCGAAAGCTAAAGATTCTGAGGATTGATGGTGGTGGAGAGTATGTGTCGAAAGATTTCGATGCATTATGTGAGAAAGAAAGGATTATTCATAAGGTGGATCCACCCTATACTCCACAACATAATGGAACTGCAGAAAGGAAGAATAGAACTATCATGAATATGGTGAGAAGTATGTTAAAAGTCAAACATCTACCCAAAGAATTATGGGGAGAAACTGTGTCGACTATAACATACATCTTGCCTAAATCATTTGAAGGTGTTTGGATCTATAGCACATAGACATGTGTCATGTCATTTGAGAAGAAAACTTGATGACAAGTCGAGTCAAATGATCCTGATACGATAACATTCGACTGGAGGGTACAAGTTGTTCGACCCAGTGAACAAGCAAGTAGTGATCAACAAGGATGTGATCATAGATGAGCTTAAGGAATGTGATTGGACTGAGAATGTCAAGAAGGATTCAGTGAGAATTTTATGTGAAGAATCAGCTAGTGAAGTCGAAAGAGAAGTTCGACAAGAAGAAGTCAGAGGTGAAGGAGGCCCAAGCAGACCTCAACGGACAAGACACATTCCTACAAGGTTGCAAGAATGTGTGATTACATCAGATGATATAGTCGATGAAGAAGGTGAGCTGGTACACTATGTCTTCTATGCAGATATCGAACCAGTCAATGCAACCGAGACATTGAAAGATTCGAAGTGGGTGAAAGGAATGAATGAGGAGTTAGAGTCCATCGAAGTCAACAACACTTGGTCACTTATCAAATTTCCCCAAGGCAAGAAGGAAATCGATGTGAAGTGGGTATACAAAGTGAAGTTGAATCCCAAAGGAGAAGTAACTTGACACAAGGCAAGACTTGTGGCAAAAGGATTTCTTCATAAAGAAGGAATTGACTTCGACGAAGTTTTTGCACCCGTTGCTAGGATAGAAACAACCGGGTCGATTGTTAGTCTAGAAAACATGAACAACTGAAGGTATTTCAGATGGATGTGAAATGTGCATTCTTAAATGACCCATTCGACGAAGAAGTTTATGTTGCATAACCAGTTGGGTTTGTGAAACAAGGCAAAAAAAAGAAAGGTGTACATGATGCATAAAGCCTTGTATGGACTTAAGCATGCTCCAAGAGCTTGGAATAAGAAGATAGATAGCTTTCTAAGGGAGAAGAAGTTTGTAAAATGCACGAATGAGCATGAAGTATATGTAAGAAGAAGCAAAAGTTAATTGCTTATACTATGTCTCTATGTCGATGATCTATTGATAACAGGAAGTTGCAAGAAGGAGATTGAAGATTTCAAACATGACCTAAGTGAGGAGTTTGAAATGTCAGACTTGGGAAATCTATCATATTTCTTTAGCATAGAATTCTACAAAAGTTGTAGAGGTTTGATGATGCACCAAAGAAGATATGCATGTGAAATACTCAAGAGATTTGAGATGCAAGATTGCAACCCGACTTCGACTCCAGCTGAACCAAGACTGCAACTATCGAAAGATTCAGATGAAGATGATGTCAATCCAACCCAATAGAGAAGACTTATTGGGTCACTTCGATTCCTTTGTCACACAAGGTCTGACTTAGCATACAATATGGGTATGATAATTAGATTCATGCAGAAGCCAAAGGTATCACACCTAGCAGCGACGAAGAGGATATTAAGGTATCTGAAAGGAACTCTCGACTACGACATTTTGTTTCCTGCAGCTGATGAAGGAAAAGAATGCAAGTTAATGGGATACACCGACTCAAGTTGGTATAGTGATGTTGAGGATAGAAAATCCACAGTTGGTTATGTGTTTATGCTAGGGGATGCACCAGTTGCTTGGAGTTCGAGAAAGGAGGTAGTATTGGCATTGTCGTCATGCAAAGCAGAATACATAGCTGCTTCTTTTTGTGCATGTTAAGCAAAGTAGATGGTGAATCTAGTTGAAGAGATTATGGTGAAGAGTCATGGAACAATTACCATGAAGATCGACAACATGTCAGCTATCAATCTAGCGAAGAATCCAATAGCACATGGACGAAGCAAGCACATCGAAATGAGGTTCCATTATCTTCAAGAGCAGGTAGTAGAAGGGAAGATGAATTTGGATCACTACAGAACTGAGAATCAGATTCTAGATATCATGACGAAAGGAGTGCAAGTCGAAGTGTTCAAGAAGTATGATGAATATATATAGTTTAGACACAATGAATTAGGTGGTGTGTTGAAATTGTAATTCCTTGTGTCGAAGCAGTGAAGCTTGACAAAAACAAAGATTAGTCGAAATTATCCTAAGATGTGTGTGTCGAGTTGCTTAAATGTCGAAATGTCAAAGTAGATTGCTTGACACATAATTTCGACTTAGACCAAAAATAGTAATTTTGGACTTTCTTCTATTATAAATAGAGGGAGTAACCCCTATTTTGTAATAACTTGTATTGGTAGATTTTTTGCAGTTGCAAAGTGAATAAAAATTTTTTTTCATAGTTTGTGGGCGGAAATTCCACAGTTGAAAATCATTATCTTCTTTTAATTTTATCAAACTCTTTTTTTCTTTCTTTCTCATTTTTTATTAACAGTTGTTGCGTATAATCTATCTGAAAATAAGATGGATTAGAAATTCTCAAAAGGTTTTGGATTAATTCTTATAAAAAAAAAATAGCATATGCAAATAGAAAAAAAAAAAGGAAAAATCAAAATATTGCTTTCTGAATTATTGTGAGAAAAGAAGGTGATAAAGGAGAAAAGTGTGAAAATAGAGAAATTGTAACATATTTTGGTTGCTTTCAAGTAGTTTGACAAATTGTCTTAAGTAGAGCAAATAGAATGTGCATTATTTTCAGAAATAGATACTTTACAGTCAATTAGATGATTTCAGCCATTCGATTTTGATTAGCAATTTTTAAAATGACTGCATAAATGCATCATTTCCAGACCCAAAAAGAATCTGAATCCTTTATATTTAGTATAACACACTTTTCAACAACAAGACAGTAGAATAAAAGATCATGAAAATCTAATCTATCTTTTCAGTGTAAGACACTAGAGGGAAAAAATCTTCATTTACACTACACTCAGTGTGAAGTATTTGTCCAAGAATATAGATCACAGATTAAGTTGCTATCAATCACATTACCAGAGCAATTAGTATGCTATCAATTAGTATTTAATGCAGTGTGATCCAAAAAAGGGGCAACATAACATAATCACTTAACCCACCAAAACACAACCTTGACAGCATAAACATGCTACTAAACAACCAAGCAAAGCACCAGCAAATACTTGAGATGGGGTGTGACCAAGAAGTTCCTTTAGCTTCCTTTCGCTAATTGGATGGCCTTGAAACATGTCAGCCACAATCATATTAAGCACCTGTGTCCAGCCATTTACACAATTTTCTGGTCAAAAAATTTCTTCATAAACTAAAGGTAAACATAGTTAAATGGCCGCATATAAATGCTTGATTATAGTTTCTGGTTCTTTCCAATTCAAGGAAAAACGATACTTCCTGTACCATTATACTGTCAAAACCAAAGCTATCACTGAAGAAACATAGCTATTTTTGGTACCTCCAAAGTGAAAATTGAAGTTATGGGGTTTCCGATAAAAGATGTCGAAGAGGCATAATACGGACCTTGAATATGATAGAGGTGTAATAATATGATTGAATGCATCTTGATTTGATACAAAAGACTAAGCACTGAGCCAGGCCAGAGTACAACAGACTAGAATACACAAACTTAATGTTACAATTCAAAATTAAAGGACATACTTACAAATGACAAAAAATCTACAACTCAGCATACGAATGAGCGCAACAGGTTCAAAATCAATGAAATTGACAAATCTCTTAGTTTAAAATTACTGCAGAGTAAAGGATGAAGGGACTGTGTCTCACTCATTAAAGCTAGATTCAGCTCCACATTGATAGTTTTCAACTAATGAGACTAAGGTTCATTCACCTTGTTGGCTTGTTTGGTTCATTGCAAACTTGCCCCTATGGGTTTGGTCACGGTTTCTGGTCCGTGACTTAATTTATTCTGGGAGGTTGAGACTCAATACAACACAGTTCATCTCCTTTGCACATGGCTTACATTTGTATGTTCGATGAATATGTGGTGTCAAGTGCTACACTTTTCTGTGAGGTTAATGTTTTGTGCACTACAATCCTATGTGAGTGAGTCTACAATGCATGTCTGCCTGAGTTTACACAAATGATTTTGTAAGCATGTTAAGTTAACACTGATAGCTAGAGTCCTAACCTATGAAGCACGCGCTGACACTGGTAATGTCACAAAATATAGGACGCCGACTGCGACACATGATAGTGTTTGAAATTTCTTTAACATATTTCATTGATCAAAATTTATAGAAAATGGAAAAGTGGTTGAATTTAACAATAGCATACCTGAGCTTGCATACCAGCATGTCTTCTAACGCCAATAGCATCGTACATGACAATAAGACTAAATCCCAAAGAAACAGGAAAGAGTGAATCAGCAACACCATGAGATAGAGCAACGGAAGTGGTGAGAGCAGTACATAGTGCAGAATGAGAAGAAGGCATTCCTCCAGAAGCAAACATGAGTCTCAAATCCCATTTTCTTTCCATACAAAAATTCAAGAAAACTTTGATGGATTGTGCCACAAACCATGCAAACAAACCAGAAACAAAAGTTGGGTTGGAAGCCAACGTAGCAACAAAAGGACTAATCTTAACCTTGGCGTTAGCCGTTACGCTTAATAAAGCCACTCCCAACCCTCCGTTTTGCAAGTAACAACAAGACCCTTGTTGGTTTTCATTGGAAACCCTGTTGTGGGTTGTTAAAGCTGCCACCTTTTTGATGAAATGCGTGAAAGGGAAAGAAACCCAAGATGGGTTTGGTTGAGAATTGTGTGGATTAGTAGTTGTATTAGATTGAGATTGAGAACAAGGAGAAGTAAAAGTGGGTGTGAGGGTGTTGAAGTGAAAAAGAGGGTGAAAGGATGATTGAGGTTTGAGAGTTAGAGGAAAGAGAGAGCCCATGAGCTTAGATAGCATGTGATTGGGTGTATTGTTACGGAAAGAAGAAGAAGCATTGAATTGGAAAAGTTGGCATGTGATGGCTGGTAGGGTCAACAACATCTTTCTTTGGATTGGATGAATGAAGCATAATTTAATGAACTCTCGGGTATATTCTTTTTTTTTTTTAAAAGTATTTGTCAAAAAGTATATAAGTGTGTGGTATTTTTACAGAGGTCTTTGTAATTAAAAGTGATCAGGATTTATTTACCGTGGTGAGAGATATTATTTAATGGTGGTGAGAGATATTATTTAATGGTGGTTTTTCAATGTGTATGGAGGGTTAAATTACGTGAGATGAGAGACTATATATTTGATGTGTTATACGATGGGTATAATGATATGTCTCTTTTCTTGGTAGGGATGAGATATTTATAGAGACTTTAGACCTAGGGTTCAGAAAATCCTAAAGAATGATAATCGTTGTCCCAAGATTGGAGGAGAATGTTGATTGCCTACTTTTTAAGGAGATGTTGTGTGACTTGTTCCATGTGGCTAGTGCTTGGATAACCATGTTCTACACGGTTTCCCTGAGGGCAAGTCCGCAATGACCCAAAGGTCACGCTTGGGTGATGCCTCGTGTGACGGGGACCCGCGAGTCACCTTTATGGGAGGACTCTAACAAATATATCACTACACAATCCCTCAAGCACGAGGACTTGTAAAGGACAAAGTATTTTTAGACTTCTCTGAATTGAGCTTTGTGGTCAGTGTAACACCCTAAGCCCGACACCCTTGATTTAAGAAAATAAAACATATGATTTTGCACGACATCAGCATTACACATTCACAACATACATCTTTCTTCAATTATGACATCTACCAAATAGCAGTAGAACATCAAAAAACTTCAAAGAAAATATTTATTGGTCTCAATGGAATGTACTAAATAGAATAACTTAAACATCTCAAGAATATAACATGTAACAAAGCAACCTGTCCCCAGTGTTACATATTAGAGCTTTAACGGAAAAACTAAAATGATGTACAAAAACAGTAAACAACTGAAGAGGTCTCAACGCCTTCCTCCAACTCATAAAACATCTACTCTTCTACTTGATTATATGTACTCCAAGAGAATACACTCAAAATATGTTAGCGGTACAAAAAGATAGAAAGGGTAGCATCATTCATAACAAATCATCAAAGTATGAATTATTCGCAACAATTAATAATTTATTCACATCTCAACCAAACAAAATCAAATAATCACCAATTCATGAACATCATTCACAATAATGAACTAATGATAATAATAACTCGGTCGCAAAGAAGGTATGTATGCAATGCATCAATTCCTCGACTCTTTATGCATGTGATACCAATTTGGACATCAGAGGTATGTTATTGATTTATTCAACTCACCGAAGGTCCCCCTTTTGAACCATGAATGTCACTGATCCCCCCTTCTGAATTAGGACTCATCACTGACCCCCCCCCCCCCCCCTTCTGAATCAGGACTCGCATGGACCGAAGTCCATACACCATGATGCATGAAATGCAATAACACATACAGATGTAATAACATCATTAGTTCCCTTTCAAACCACTTACATTGCCAATAAGGCCACCATCTTAATATAACGAGTATGATATGCAATTATAGCTCACCAATACCAAATAGTACAAGCATTCAACAACACATGCTTATACATTCACACAGTATTCACACAACTTTTAAAGCATATCAATTGTATTCATCAACTCATCAAACACAACAAAACAGGAACTAACAATCATTGGAATAATAAACAACTCAAAAAATTGAGTCGTTGACCCAAAACTAGTCAACGTGGTCATGACGGTCAACCCACTTGTCGTGACATGTTAGTCATCCCTCTCCTCACCCATTGGCCACTCATGCAACGTCCAACAAGGTTGTTTGCTCTAGAGACCCTGACAATCGACCCTCTATATGGCTAATGGCCGTCATCTCTATAAACATGGTGACAGTTTGCTCGTCATGGTGAAGACGTACGTCACCATAGTGCAGAATGCAGAATTTCATTTTCTTCCACGGGAGCACTTTCAAAGCTCCAATTTTGATCCTGTAACACCCAAATCGCATAGAAAATTATCATCCATAATTATACAATGATTATTACAGTAACTACTCACAGATTAATCATGATTTCATCGACTTATCACAAAATCAACATCATATTAACACTTCTCAATATGAACATCCACAATTCGAATTTCACTTGCAATTGTACACGAATTTTAGCAGTAAAATCATGCAATAAAATTATATTTATCACAACAATTGAGATAGGTCTTACACAATCATTTTATAACACATAAAGCATCAATAATGGAGAAAACAAAGAAGAGGGTGAGGATCCCTCCCTACCCTTCATGCAATTGACACTCATAGATGAGTAATCCCCCCCCCCCCTTTTACCTGAATTTTGTAGCAAAAGGTTGAATTTTCACCAAAGAGTTCTTCCTCCTAGGTTTTGTCATTCCTCTCCCAGAAATTTTATTTTATCCAGTTTCACGTATTACTTTTTCCCTACTTTTCTCTTTATTATTGTTTTAAACAAAAATCTAATATCAATTATTAGTATTTCTATTTTCCCCATTAACTTTTGGTTTCTCTCACTTTGTCCCACCACTTATCTCATTATACCACTTATCTCATTATACCACTTTCTACCCCATAACTCATTTTTTTTTATTTTTCTCTATATTATTATATTATTTGTACACTATGTTAATTACCCAAAAATAGTGAATAATAGTATAAATTATATCCCACCTCAAATAATCCCACATAATTACACACAACACGCTAATAAATTATATAAATATATATTGACTCAGTAAAATAAAATAAATCTAAAAATTGTGGTGTTACAACTCTCTCTCACTTACATAATTTTTGTTCTAAAAAATTACCTGAAATAAACATCTTTAGATACGAGCCTCTCATCCGACTCTCCAGCTCCCACGTCACGCTCCTTCAAGCAAATCTTCCCCACACTACCTTCATTGGAGTGTCTATTTTCCCATCAAGTGTTTCACTTCCTGTTCCTCAATCTGCAAAGGTGATGCCTCAATAGTCAAGTTATCACTCACTTGCACATCTTCCAATTGGATCACATGGGACGAATAAAAAATATAATTATAAAGTTGTGACACATTAAAGATATCACAATGATTTGAAAGAGACGATGCTAAGGCAACTTTGTAGACCAGCTCTCCTACTCTCTGGAGGATCTGATGCAGACCAATAAAATGAGGCGTGAGCGTCCAAGACTTAAGTGCACGACCGACATCAGCCACCGGAGTGACTCTTAAGAACACATGTTCTCCCTCTTAGAACTCAAGTGCTTTTCTTTGCTTATCATGATAACTCTTTTGTCTACTCTGTGAAGCCTTCATCTTTTCTTGAATCATCTTTGATCTTCTTAGTAGTCAGCTGAACAATCTTTGGTCCAAGCACAACACTTTCATCTGGTTCATACCAACATAAAGAAGTTTTACACCTATTTTCATACATAGCCTTAAAAGTTTTCATTCTAATATTAGAATGGTAATTGTTGTTATAGGTGAACTCAATTAATGGCAATTAGCTACCCCAATTACCTCCTTGTTCCAAAACGCAAGCTCTCAACAAATCTTCCAAAGATTGGATAGTCATTTCTATCTAAATCTCCGTCTGCAGATGATAAGCAGGTCTCAACCTCAACTAGGTTTCTATGGCTTCCTTCTAACTCTCCCAAAACATTGACGTAAACCTCATATCTCTAACTGGAATAATACTCAAAGGAATACCATGGAACTTGACAATCTCACTAATGTAAACCTCTACTAGCTTCTACAACGAGTAACTAGTCTTTATCATAATAAAATGAGCCGACTTAGTCAGTCTATCCACCACAACCCACATCGAGCCACTTCCATTCGATGTGTTTGGAAAATCCACCACAAAATCCATAGAAATGTTATCCCACTTCCACTCAAGGATACTCAATGGTTGCATCAACCCATACGATTTCTGATGACTGGCCTTCGACTTCTGACAAGTCAAACAATAATGTACAAACTCAACAACATACTTCTTCATACATGACCACCAAAACATCTTTGTAGTACCGAGATGAATACTTAAAGGACTTCTGTAACATTCCTCAAGAATTCTCTTCTTAAGCTCTGAAAAATTTGGCACACAAAGTCTGTCTCGGAATCTCATAACTCCATTCTCATCAACTGTGAAATCCACTTCTTTACCTTGATTAATTTACACCAATCGGTCAATCAATCCCAAATTTGATTTCTAACCTTTTATGATCTCTTCTAGAACACTGCTAGTCAACATCAGCATACCCAACATCACACTCAACGGCGTCATCTAACACACTAAGCTAAGATCTCTTAATTTCTCAATTAAGTCAATCTCTCTAACCATCAATGTCAGTATATTCAAAGAATTTCTACTCAAAGCATCTACTACCATACTAGCTTTACCATGATGGTACTTAACTCAAAGTCATTATTCTTCGAAAACCATATCCACCTTTTTTTGCCTCATGTTCAACTCATTTTGATCAAACAGATACTTCAAACTCTTATGATTGTTGAAAACCTCAAACTGCAAACTATACAAATAATTCCTCCAAACTTTATGCACAAATACTATAACTGCCAACTCCAAATCATGGGTAGGATAATTCCTCTCATGAATCTTCAGTTGTTTCAAAGCATACGCTACAACCTAACGATTCTGCATAAGCATGCCACATAATTCCATCTTAGAATCATCACAATACACAATAAAAGATTCATTTGCATCTGGTAAAATCAAAGCTAGCGTTGTAGTCAACCTCTTTTTCAACTCTTAGAAACTTTCTTTACATTGAGCATCCCACACATAAGCTTGCATCTTCTGAGTCAACTAAGTCAAAGGCAAGGCCAACTTCGAAAAGCCTTCTATAAATCTTCTATAGTAACCAACCTAGCAGAGAAAACTTTTG